TTTTACCATGTTTTACGAAATAGCCATCAATCCAACAATGTATCGTGGAATGATCACCGTTTCACTACGGCTCAGTGAAACGACCTGCTCAACCAAAGCTTCATACAATGACCACAGTTTAACCATGGTCTCGTGAAATGACCACAGTTTAACCATGGTCTCGTGAAATGACCACAGTTTAACCATGGTCTCGTGAAATGACCACAGTTTAACCATGGTCTCGTAAAATGACCACAGTTTAACCATGGTCTCGTGAAATGACCATAGTTTAACCATGGTCCGTGAAATGACCACAGTTTAACCATGGTCTCGTGAAATGACCACAGTTTAACCATGGTCTCGTGAAATGAGCACAGTTTAACCATGGTCTCGTGAAATGAGCACAGTTTAACCATGGTCTCGTGAAATGACCACAGTTTAACCATGGTCTCGTGAAATGACCACAGTTTAACCATGGTCTCGTGAAATGACCACAGTTTAACCATGGTCTCGTGAAATGAGCACAGTTTAACCATGGTCTCGTGAAATGACCAAAGTTTAACCATGGTCTCGTGAAATGACCACAGTTTAACCATGGTCTCGTGAAATGACCACAGTTTAACCATGGTCTCGTGAAATGAGCACAGTTTAACCATGGTCTCGTGAAATGACCACAGTTTAACCATGGTCTCGTGAAATGACCACAGTTTAACCATGGTCTCGTGAAATGACCACAGTTTAACCATGGTCTCGTGAAATGAGCACAGTTTAACCATGGTCTCGTGAAATGACCACAGTTTAACCATGGTCTCGTGAAATGACCACAGTTTAACCATGGTCTCGTGAAATGACCACAGTTTAACCATGGTCTCGTGAAATGACCACAGTTTAACCATGGTCTCGTGAAATGACCACAGTTTAACCATGGTCTCGTGAAATGACCACAATTTAACCATGGTCTCGTGAAATGAGCACAATTTAACCATAGATTCGCAACGCTAATGTTTGTGGTGTTTTCAGTAATTTCAATGACTAGTTTGTTTGTTTGTTGTTTAACGCCGCAATGTTCAAGCAATATGACAGCGGTCTGAAAAATAATCGAGTCCTGACCAAACAATCCAGTGATTGACATCATGAGCATCGATCAACGCAGTTGGGATATGATGACATGCATCAACCAAGTTAGCGAGCCTGACCACCCGATCCCGTTAGTCGCCTCATACGACAAGCATAGTCGCCTTTTACGACAAGCATGGGTTGCTGAAGACCTATTCTACCCCGGATCGTCACAGGTTTCTATGACTAGTTTCACAATATGATACCATCGATTACGCCAGGTGATTAATCATACCAGGGTGTGTCAATACTCATCTTAAAGCTGGCCTTGAGGCTATATTGATCGTTTCAGCTGGAGCCCTCTTCCTCCAGGAGACCAACACATGTTGCCCCAGATCGATGCCCACATAATAGAAAAACGATAAATTTCATCTCACAATGGTAAATCTGCCATTTTCAATAATACACATTCAGCCATTTAAACAGTAAGGAAGGAGCAGGAAGATCACAACTCCATACTGTTATATTTGGTGTAGTTTCAGTATTATCAAAATATTATGGGACTATTAACCAAATACAGCTCTTAGCATCATTTTCAGTAACATTTAGTGTTATTATATGGACAATTATTAGAGGAGTTAATTGGACAGAACATAAATGTTTTTGCGACACAGGCTTCAGACAGTTACATAAAGTTAGAATTAGATAATGCCTCAGACTGTTTGTTTAATCTGAATAGTTTCAAAATAACAAACTTAACTACTTATTAGACCAAGACTGGGGCTTTGAACTAAAGATAAATAAAGTTAGATAAAGTGGCATTACGGTTTCACAGTTTTGCTGTATTTCATTTTTGAAAAAGTAATGCATTATGTGTGCTCTGTATCAGTACTACACCTCCATGTGGCCGAGTCAGTGATCCAGATTGTTAGATGGCATTGTCCCATGACAAACACACATGACCCTCCCATGCTGGGCGATTTACATGCATACATAGAGAGAGAGGTTGTTTACATTTGTTCCACTTTCTGCACACAGTACAGTATGAAATACATTTTCCCTATTCATGTCAAAACCACCCTTAGCATGCTTAGGGTTATGAGACATGCAAACAACAAAGCAAGAGTTTAAAATTTGGACATTAAAACAAACCTTAAGTAAATAAGATTATACGCCATATACACTCATCCAGTTCATCATTCATTCATCAATCTTTTAAAACAGTGAAATCATTCAAACTTGTCAATTTGTTCCAATCAGTTGGGGTAATCAGTGCCCTGGCTCCATAGTTCTGAAACCTTGTTTTCCCAGGTGAGGAGATGCTTGACTCGTATGCATCAATGTCAAACTGAAACTTTGCGATTTTATCTTAAATATCAATTCTGAAACCTGGATAACAATTTATCAGACATAAAAACGACTATTTGCCACACTCTTTCTCAAAAGCTGCCCAAGAATCAATTGTTTTTATCATTTCAGTCCTAAATTAGTGCTGCCCTTGTTGAAGCATCAATAGTATTATGAGCTATTCTACCCATTTGATTTCCTGCTTGTACTATAAATAATGGTTGTTGATTTCAGAAAGGTATTACTTGGGAATAATAATTTCTAATCACTGCTTTGCATTGAACGGTTTGGTAACAGACCAATAAGGTTTTCTTGGTCATATTATGCCAACCGATGTTCAGGTTAAGATTGAAGTCAAGCTTGTCTGCTGTTGATCACAAAGGTGCCAGTGTCCCTTATGCACTAGTTCTTTCAGCACAACAACAATCACATTAAAATTATCTTCTTTTTCAGACAAGACAGTTTATACGAGGGGTGTTCATTAAAGATTTCCCCTAAAACACTCAGTTATCATATTTGGTTTAAATTTCACATGTGTAATGATGTATCTATGGGTTATGTCTGAATTTGCAGCACCGAACTATTAATCTTACCACTTTTACAGGTGTTATGATCGAGTAGGGTGTGACAATGGAGCCAGTAGAATACTGAGCAGTGATTAGGTTTTTATAGTTGAAAGGTCGCACACCAAAGGAAACCTTCGATGAAATGAAAGCTACTTATGGGGAAGATGCCCCATCATATGACGTTGTTAAACACTGGCATCGCCAGTTCAAATGTGGTCGGACATCTGTGGAAACAGCTGCCATTCCTGGTCGCCCCCATTCAGCCATTGATGAGGACACTATCCATCAAGTGGAGACCGCCATTTTGGCAGACCGACGTATAACTGTTCGCCAGTTAGCACAAGATGTCAAGATCAGTGTAGGGTCTGTGGAAAAAAACATCCATGACAATTTGAACATACATAAGGTGTCTGCACGATGGATTCCCGGGTTGCTCACACCAAAAGCAGAAACGAGTCAATTGCTCAAAGGATCTTTTGGACATGTGCCAAAAAAAACAGGCACACTTTTTTGACAGACTTATCACACAGGATGAAACATGGGTCCATCACTATGATCCTGAGACTAAAGTTCAGTCGATGCAATGGAAGCATGTGGAGTCACCACCCCCAAAGAAGGCACGTGTCCAACCGTCTGCAGGCAAGGTCATGCTCACGATGTTTTGGGACCAGCACGGAGTAGTGATGATGGATTTCTTGGCAAAGGGTACCACAATTACAGGAGCTTATTATGCTTCACTGCTGCGGAAATTGCGGGACGCTATCAAGCTTAAGAGGCGTGGCATGCTGACCAAGGGTGTCCGTCTCCTGCAAGACAATGCTCCAGTACACAACTCTCATGTTGCCCAGACAGAAGCGCGGTCCTGTGGCTATGAAATCCTTCCACATCCTCCTTACTCTCCTGACCTTGCACCATATGACTTCCACCTCTTTCCAACCATGGAGTCATTTTTGAAGGGAAAACGTTTCACAGATGATGAAACACTGATTTCTGGAGTCAAGTCCTTGTTTGAGACGCAAAATGAGGGCTTTTACAAGCGAGGTCTCCATAGTTGCATAAAACCATGGGAGAAGTATGTAACTCTTGATGGTTCCTATGTGGAGAAAGACTAATACCTATGCCAAGTTTCATTCCACTAGGTCCATCGGAAGTGGGTCAGGGGAAATCTTTAATGAACACTCCTCGTTGGTTCAGCAAACAGGTTCAACTTGAACTGACATGTGCAGGGTTTGGTTTGTTTGTTTGTTGTTTAACGCCGCCCTCAGCAATATTCCCGCTATATGACGGCTGTCTGTAGTGAGTGAGTGAGTGAGTGAGTTGGGTTTAACGCCGCTTTTAACATTATTCCAGTTATATCACGGCGTGTCAGCTTAATGTGGGATGAAAGCCCGAAGTGATGCAGGTCTTAGACGTTGACCACTTCGGTGAAACCCACGAGCACGGGTATGGTGCTGACAAACCTAGAAACATAATCGGGGTGAACCGGGATTCGAACCCACAATCATAGGTTTCTGGCGTGTCGAGGGGACGCAACTCTGCACAGCGAATCGCGGCGCCTTAGACGACTGGGCCACCCGTAACCTGACGGCGGTCTGTAAATAATCGAGTCTGGACCAGACAATCCAGTGTTTGACCTCATGAGCATCAATCAACGCAATTGAGATACGATGACATGCATCAACCATGTCAGCGAGCCTGATCACCCGACCCCGTTAGTCGCCTTTTACGACAAGCATAGTCGCCTTTTACGGTAAGCATGGGTTGCTGAAGACCTATTCTACCCCGGTGGAAATGTGCAGGGAGTGAGAACAGTATTCCAGTTATATCATGGCGTGTTAGCTTGATGTGGGAAGAATGCCTGAAGAGAAGCAAGTCTGAGATGTTTACAACTTTGGTTAAACCCACAAGCTCCGGTATGGTGCTGACCAACCTAGAAACAAACAGAGCGAACCCACAATCATAGGTTTCTGGCGTGCCCAAGGGACGCAACTCTGGACAACGCATTGCAGCAATTTATACTACTGGGCGTTTTTTAAGACATGACACGTTAAGGATAGCAGATTTTTTATTGTTTGTAACAACGTCTTGCCTTGTCATCAAGTGAATACTGAGTGAGGGTAAGAGTTATGATGTATAAATCCTGATCTGTTAACTATAGGTTGGATTATGGTACACAGATAACAATATAAGGTGGAAGCCATGGGATCAAAGGGGGAGAAGCCAACTGGATTACCAAAGATTGAATATGTTTGTTATTTCAAATTACATGTCTACAAAATATATAGAATGTCAACGTAGACTATCTGGCATCAGCTCTGTGACCATCTTCCTGAGGTAAGGGTATTTACTGACTGTAAAAGTCCAGTTTCCACCCTTGTCGTATCAGGCTGGTATTATGGGGTTATCTTGACTGGACTAACGAGTCTATGCATAATCCAATAAAAATCTTGCAACGAAATCAACACCCGGTTCATAAACAACATGGATTTGAACGTGCAGATTTTGATCAACTGCAGGATTTGCTAAGGATCTGTACTGTCAATTGGGCGTCGACAGATATTTTTCAAATCTTCTCATGGCGTTAATCAAGGTGCTCACGTGATTTGATGCACTTCACAAAGAAAGACCTGTTATATTACAATATACATCTCAATCATCTATCATATCGTCTTGACTGGGCGCTGCCATATTGTTAAAAGCAGATGCAAGTGATGTGAGAGGTTGAATCTCATTGGTCAATAGGAGGGGCATAGAAGGGACATAACTCGCAATATCCACTGGTGGCCCTACAATCAATACCAGAAATTCCGGCCTAGTTCAGCAAGGGTAGAAACTGGACTTTAACAGTCAGTGAACTCCCTTGCCTCAGGAAGATGCTCTGTGACATGGGTAACAACACCTCACCACTGACACAAATTGTGCTCCACAAGATGTGGCACCCTCAGTGGCACCCCGGACCATATGCCCTTGTCAGTGGCACCCTGGACCATGCACCCTTGTCAGTGGCACCCGGACTATATGCCCTTGTCAGTGGCACCCCGGACTATATGCCCTGTCAGTGGCACCCTTGACCATACACCCTTGTCAGTTGCACCCTGGACCATACACCCTTGTCAGTGGCACCCCGGACCATATGCCCTTGTCAGTGGCACCCCGGACCATATGCCCTTGTCAGTGGCACCCCGGACCATATGCCCTTGTCAGTGGCATCCCGGACCATGCACCCTTGTCAGTGGCATCCCGGACCATACACCCTTGTCAGTGGCACCCAGGACCATACACCCTTGTCAGTGGCACCCCGGACCATGCACCCTTGTCAGTGGCACCCTGGACTATATGCCCTTGTCAGTGGCATCCCGGACCATGCACCCTTGTCAGTGGCACCCCCGACCATACACCCTTGTTAGTGGCACCCCCGACCATGCACCCTTGTCAGCAGCACCCCGGACCATACACCCTTGACAGTGGCACCCCGGACCATATGCCCTTGTCAGTGGCACCCCGGACGATTTGCTCTTGTCAGTGGCACCCCGGACCATATGCCCTTGTCAGTGGCATCCCGGACCATGCACCCTTGTCAGTGGCACCCAGGACCATACACCCTTGTCAGTGGCACCCCGGACCATGCACCCTTGTCAGTGGCACCCCGGACTATATGCCCTTGTCAGTGGCATCCCGGACCATGCACCCTTGTCAGTGGCACCCCGGACCATACACCCTTGTTAGTGGCACCCCCGACCATGCACCCTTGTCAGCAGCACCCCGGACCATACACCCTTGACAGTGGCACCCCGGACCATATGCCCTTGTCAGTGGCACCCCGGACTATATGCCCTTGTCAGTGGCACCCCTGACCATACACCCTTGTCAGTGGCATCCCGGACCATGCACCCTTGTCAGTGGCACCCCGGACTATATGCCCTTGTCAGTGGCACCCCGGACCATGCACCCTTGTCAGTGGCACCCCGGACCATACACCCTTGTCAGTGGCACCCTGGACCATGCACCCTTGTCAGTGGCACCCCGGACCATATGCCCTTGTCAGTGGCACCCCGGACTATATGCCCTTGTCAGTGGCATCCCGGACCATGCACCCTTGTCAGTGGCATCCCGGACCATACACCCTTGTCAGTGGCACCCCGGACCATGCACCCTTGTCAGTGGCATCCCGGACCATGCACCCTTGTCAGCGGCACCCCGGACCATACACCCTTGTCAGTGGCACCCCGGACCATATGCCCTCGTCAGTGGCACCCCGGACTATATGCCCTTGTCAGTGGCACCCTGGACCATACACCCTTGTCAGTGGCATCCCGGACCATGCACCCTTGTCAGTGGCACCCCGGACCATACACCCTTGTCAGTGGCATCCCGGACCATGCACCCTTGTCAGTGGCACCCTGGACCATGCACCCTTGTCAGTGGCACCCCGGACCATGCACCCTTGTCAGTGGCACCCCGGACCATGCACCCTTGTCAGTGGCACACTGGACCATGCACCCTTGTCAGTGGCACCCCGGACCATGCACCCTTGTCAGTGGCACCCTGGACCATACACCCTTGCCAGTGGCACCCCATGACTCATTGAGCATATTTTTGAACAAATAGAGGTCTGAAAGATTTTCTGTCAATGGATTTCAACTTGATATGCATGAACAGTTATCAGAGGGATATTGTCAATGGATTTCAACTTGATTTGTATAAATAGAGGTACCTGAAGGATTTCTCGTAAATGGATTTCAATGTATAAAAAATTCAAAAAATAGCAACAAGAACAAAGAACACATGATAATAACTCTAGAATAAATATCACAGAAACCAGTAATGCATAGTTTACAATGACACTGTCAGAAATCTCGAAGCGATGCATAGCAGTGAGGACCCCAGAGGATCCTTCAGGGTCTTGTAATCCTGTTCTTTACCAATATGTATCTAGGTTTACGGATGTCTTAGCTACGTAAAAAAGTGCTCCTGGTCTTCTAGGTTCCAGGGTGACTAGTTACAGCCTGGTGGTGTCCCCATTCATCTCGTCCTGTCTGCTGCCCTGGAACCTGGCCTCTTGTCCAGATACATCTTCTATCTGAACTCCCTTGGTGTCGGCTGCTCCCGACTCGTCCTCGGCACAGAACACAGGATTGTTGTGTCCCTGTATAGCATGTGACTCTCTGTCCGAGACAACGTCCGGACTCTCAACGTTTTGTGTCTTTTTCAGCAGCTTTGGCCCAAAGATGGTGACCAGAGCAGCACCGATGGGAGCAGTGATCAAGATGGCCAACACGGCAATGGTCAGGATCTGTCAAGGACAGGGAAAGTATGTACTAGTGTAGGTCCTGTCAAGTGCAACCTCATTAATCTGGACATGACTGGTCAAAGAAATTGTCTGGAATAACAAAACATGGGTATGGAGAGATGTCCCTTTGTATGTACCATCACAAAAAGTGGGGTTTTGGATTAACAGGGTCCAGACTAACAAGGTTTCACTCTATTCAATATAACGATCAGTACTAAGGAAGGAGGGCTGTAACAATACATTTGTTGTCATAAGATTGCAATACAGCACAAACTAAAGTTGAAAAGTCGAGTGTATGTAATCTAGTTTCTATAATTCATGTACTTACTGTCAGAAAATTGTATGTTACAAATTTGACCAACATTATTGATAAATACAACATGACCTGCGTTAACATAAACATGTGTGAATACACAGCCTCACGTATACTACCTATATCATGGTGTTAGGGACCCATCATTTAATATTCTGGAGTGAGGTAGAGAAAGCATTTATTGTTTCGGTCATTGCTTAAAAACAAACCCTTTCTCCAAAGTGAGTGAGTAAACGAGTTGGGTTCAACGCCGCTTTGAACAGTATTCCAGTTAATTCACAGCGTGTCAACTTGATGTGAGAGGAAAACCCAAAGTGATGAAGGCCTCAGACGTTTACCACTTTGGCGAAACCCACAATCACGAGTACGGTGCCGACAAACCTAGCAGCATAATTGGTGCGAACCTGGGATCCGTTCCACAAAGCGATCTTAGCGCTACGACTGTCGTAAATCAGTGTTAAAGAATGGGAGTTATGACCGACTAAACGCTAAGATCGCTTTGTGGAACGGGGCCCAGGTGAATTGCGGCGGCTCACACGACTGGGCCTCGCACGTCACCATTTTGTCTGAATGGAGCACAAGGAGGAGCCAAACGTGTTATTTTCAGGACATCCAACAAACCAGTAAATATCTTTTGTAAAACTTTTTATGGAATTGGTGCCAAAATAGAAAAATATTTGGTATCATCTGGAACATATTATTAAAAGACAACAAACCCAGGCCCCCCCACAAGAATATCAAATGGAGGGTCCCGAATTATGCAGATGCATAGATGCACAGTAACATGAATCGTTGCAGCTCTGTGTGCTGGAAGGCAACAAGAGGACACAGAGAGTGTGAAAACAGGACAATCGTGACCCTGAGGTCACCTGCATCTGTTGGCGCCGAGGACTGGATGCAGATCACAGATCATGTAAGTCAGATGAAGGATTGGTCTGCTGAGAAATATCGTTCAGGTCAATACAACATATTTTGTGCTTTTGGATTTGGGGTTCAAGATGCAGGAGCAAAATAAAAGACATGAATAAAAGTGTTATTGGAGATCATTTGGGTTAAGCATAAATGTCTGAAAATTCAATTGAAAAAGAAATAGCAAAACTACAAAGAAAAATATTCATGTTAAAAAATGAGCGATTATTCTAAATTACCGTATTCGACGTAATAAGCGCCCTGCTCTTATAAGTGCCCGTGGTGATATTGGCTAGTGAACAATCCCAATTAGAACCCCTTCCGATTGATCAATGTACACAAGACTTATTTATTTGTGTATAATACACACTCGTGTGTTACATGCACCCTTAATTATGGGCAATTAAATTCAGGAAAAATATATCCATCGTATATAAACATTTCAGGCCGTCAGCAAAAACCACGAAATTTACGATCTTTCAACTCTGTTTTTCTTCACCGAAATAATTTTCTAATAAGAGCCCCTTATTTCTAATTTTGAGAGGGCCCTGGGCACTTATTACATCGAATACTGTATTATTTAATTCATCACTATTTCATCTCTAAAGCAGGAAAACAACTGGTTAGGCCTCCTCAGCGGTGTTGAATGTCATGTGACAAGTGGGACCAACTAGCACAACACATACCAGCGGGCAGCAAACATGTGCAGCCAATGAAGACTCTGCATACAACTTGTCTGGGTGCCATTGTACAAAGTGATCTTAGCACTGAGGTGATTGTAACTCACATACTTTAACACAGACTTACGACAGTCGTAGCGCTGGGCAGCATGGGAAAAGAGGGAAGATGTTACACAATCTTTGATTCACAACACTGTTAACATGGTTAAGTACCAACCATACCAATTATCAGTGGAAAATACTGGGCAGCTTTTTCAAACACTGTTGACAAAGTCAAAAGCAAACAAGCTTGAAATACTCATATCCCCCGCCAATATGATATGTCCGGTTGTGTGCAAGGCAAGAAGTATTGTACTGTTTTCAAGATCTGCTCCCAAAACGAGCTCTACCGCCATTTTCAGTTTAAGTTAAAGTCGTTGCCATGGAAACTCGAACAATATTTTTTTCAAGAAACCCAAACTATTTTAAGGCACCAGTTCGCCACTAGACCTATCTATGTACTAAATTTGGTTAAGATATCTCTCATGATTTTTTAGTTCTGCTCCGGAACAAAACATGATGGGACAGATGGACAGGAGGACGGACGGACGAACAGCACCCATTCCTATCTACCCCTTTAACTATATGGCGGGGGATAATAACAGCAGCTTTGTGGGCCAGCTGGATGAACAGCCTGTGGCACTCAGACAGCAACTGTGACACCACTGCACTTTACACAAGAAGAACCAAACCTTGAGTCGAACCTGGACTGATGTCCGGGTTGCTATCAGCAAAAGTACTACACAATATGTAGCCCAGGTACCTTTCTGTTTTCACACATGTAGCATGGCTTGGTAACACATATGACACTGGAATCTGGTGCCTGTTGAGAATAGACTCCCCAACTTTAGTGCCCTTAATATTTCCATACCAGGGTACATTTCTGGACTATTTTGGCTAGGGTACATCTGTGTATACAGAAATGTGTTTGGGTACATGTCTGTAGTACCTGTGCCAGCTATGGCCAACATGCATTAAAACTAATTGAACAATATTCTGTTTACAGGTATCTGTGACTCATAAAGATTCTACCAAGTTGACTTTGGAACATGTGTGGCAACACAGGGATACAATATCATATGCCTTTCAATCTGTATTAACAGAGACGGTCTTTGGAGTAAAAAGGTGTACAATTCTCAAAAATCCGAATTTGTACAAGGTACAAGGGTGGGTGTGGCTTGAATTGTGCACATGGATGGTTGGGACACACCTCTGGGTACAAGGGTGGGTGTGGCTTGAATTGTGCACATGGATGGTTGGGACACACCTCTGGGTACAAGGATGGGTGTGGCTTGAATTGTGCACATGGATGTTTGGGACACACCTCTGGGTACAAGGATGGGTGTGGCTTGAAACGGGAGCACATGGATGTTAGGGACACACCTCTGGGGCAAGGATCAACTATAGGGTTTTTACAAAGCCACCACAACAAAGCAGTAAGACCCTTTAACAGTAACGAGTGTCTGATGTAGACTTGAAACATTCCTGTACACAGCTGTCATGGCTGGTATTTCTAAATAAGTCAGATCATTGTCAGTGTCTTTCCTTCACAGCATGGACAATAGTCTTGTTGCTATTCAAAAATATATTCCAAAAAGATAAGTGAGTGAGTAAGTATGGTTTTATGCCACTTTAGCAATATTCCAGGAATATCATGGCAGGGGACACCAGAAATGAGCTTCACACATTGTACCCATGTGGGGAATCAAACCTGGGTCTTCGGAGTGATGAGCAAATGCTTTAACCACTAGGCTACCCCACCGCCCCCCAACACAGATAAGAGGGTGGCATGTGTTTGTACATGCTGTAACACACCTCAACAAGAGAGCCAAGCATGTATCTCAGCTGAATGTATAATGGGTACAACTCAACAACAGAGCCAAGCATGTATCTCAGCTGGATGTATAATGGGTACAACTCAACAACAGAGCCAAGCATGTATCTCAGCTTGATGTATAATGGGTACCGGTACAACTCAACAACAGAGCCAAGCATGTTTCTCAGCTTGATGTATAATGGGTACAACTCAACAACAGAGCCAAGCATGTATCTCAGCTGGATGTATAATGGGTACCGGTACAACTCAACAACAGAGCCAAGCATGTATCTCAGCTTGATGTATAATGGGTACAACTCAACAACAGAGCCAAGCATGTTTCTCAGCTTGATGTATAATGGGTACAACTCAACAACAGAGCCAAGCATGTATCTCAGCTGGATGTATAATGGGTACCGGTACAACTCAACAACAGAGCCAAGCATGTTTCTCAGCTTGATGTATAATGGGTACAACTCAACAGCAGAGCCAAGCATGTTTCTCAGCTTGATGTATAATGGGTACAACTCAACAACAGGGCCAAGCATGTATCTCAGCTGGATGTATAATGGGTACAACTCAACAACAGAGCCAAGCATGTATCTCAGCTTGATGTATAATGGTACAACTCAACAACAGAGCCAAGCATGTATCTCAGCTTGATGTATAATGGGTACAACTCAACAACAGAGCCAAGCATACTTCTCAGCTTGATGTATAATGGGTACAACTCAACAACAGAGCCAAGCATGTATCTCAGCTGGATGTATAATTGGTACAACTCAACAACAGAGCCAAGCATGTATCTCAGCTGGATGTATAATGGTACAACTCAACAACAGAGCCAAGCATGTATCTCAGCTTGATGTATAATGGGTACAACTCAACAACAGAGCCAAGCATGTATCTCAGCTGGATGTATAATGGGTACAACTCAACAAGAGAGCCAAGCATGTATCTCAGCTTGATGTATAATGGGTACAACTCAACAACAGAGCCAAGCATGTATCTCAGCTGGATGTATAATGGGTACAACTCAACAACAGAGCCAAGCATGTATCTCAGCTGGATGTATAATGGGTACAACTCAACAACAGAGCCAAGCATGTATCTCAGCTTGATGTATAATGGGTACAACTCAACAACAGAGCCAAGCATGTATCTCAGCTTGATGTATAATGGTACAACTCAACAACAGAGCCAAGCATGTATCTCAGCTGGATGTATAATGGGTACAACTCAACAACAGAGCCAAGCATGTATCTCAGCTTGATGTATAATGGTACAACTCAACAACAGAGCCAAGCATGTATCTCAGCTTGATGTATAATGGGTACCGGTACAACTCACAACAGAGCCAAGCATGTTTCTCAGCTTGATGTATAATGGGTACAACTCACAACAGAGCCAAGCATGTATCTCAGCTTGATGTATAATGGGTACAACTCAACAACAGAGCCAAGCATGTATCTCAGCTTGATGTATAATGGGTACAACTCAACAACAGAGCCATGCATGTATCTCAGCTTGATGTATAATGGGTACCGGTACAACTCACAACAGAGCCAAGCATGTTTCTCAGCTTGATGTATAATGGGTACAACTCAACAACAGAGCCAAGCATGTATCTCAGCTTGATGTATAATGGGTACAACTCACAACAGAGCCAAGCATGTATCTCAGCTTGATGTATAATGGATACAACTCAACAACAGAGCCAAGCATGTATCTCAGCTGGATGTATAATGGGTACAACTCAACAACAGGGCCAAGCATGTATCTCAGCTTGATGTATAATGGGTACAACTCAACAACAGAGCCAAGCATGTATCTCAGCTGGATGTATAATGGGTACAACTCAACAACAGAGCCAAGCATGTATCTCAGCTTGATGTATAATGGGTAAAACTCAACAACAGGGCCAAGCATGTATCTCAGCTTGATGTATAATGGGTACAACTCAACAACAGAGCCAAGCATGTATCTCAGCTTGATGTATAATGGGTACAACTCAACAACAGAGCCAAGCATGTATCTCAGCTGGATGTATAATGGGTACAACTCAACAACAGAGCCAAGCATGTATCTCAGCTTGATGTATAATGGGTACAACTCAACAACAGAGCCAAGCATGTATCTCAGCTTGATGTATAATGGGTACAACTCAACAACAGAGCCAAGCATGTATCTCAGCTTGATGTATAATGGTACAACTCAACAACAGAGCCAAGCATGTATCTCAGCTTGATGTATAATGGGTACAACTCAACAACAGAGCCAAGCATGTATCTCAGCTTGATGTATAATGGTACAACTCAACAACAGAGCCAAGCATGTATCTCAGCTTGATGTATAATGGTACAACTCAACAACAGAGCCAAGCATGTATCTCAGCTTGATGTATAATGGTACAACTCAACAACAGAGCCAAGCATGTATCTCAGCTTGATGTATAATGGGTACAACTCAACAACAGAGCCAAGCATGTATCTCAGCTTGATGTATAATGGGTACAACTCACAACATTTGGGTCAACTATGGCTGTCTATTTCACAAAAGATTTTTCTAATCTTGAAAATGTTTGTACATTTCTATCATCAGATCTTTTTAATTCCAGGCCAACACTTGTTTGTTGTTTTTTGCTGCAGTGAGTAATATTGCAGCTAGATTTAAATCAGGGCATCAAGAGTCTGTACCACACACTTTATTGATTGATATTGATCCTGACCAATTCTAATTAGTCAGCTGTTACCACCAGCATAGGTTGTTGTGGACATTGTCACTGTGGTTTCCACAAAGGGCCCATATGTTTCCGTACTTCTATGGATGTTTCCATTGAGGCACTGCAGGCAATTATCAACAATATATGAATGAGCTGAAAAAAAGAAACAAATGATACACATTAATGAAAGCCACCCTCAGTTACTTCCCCTTGTCTCATGGTTGCCTGGAGAAAGTGCAGCTTCAATATGTCTGTGATAATGAATCATCAGGAATACAGGACAGGTAAATACTGTTTTAAGTAATCATCGGAGTTGCAAAATGAAGTCAAAAACATGAATTATACACAACAAAACATAGAGTGAGTGAGTGAGTCAGTTTGATTTTATGCCGCTTTTAACAATATTCCAGCAATATCACGGCGGAGGACACCAGAAATGGGCTTCACACATTGTACCCATGTACACTCTACCCGACCGCCCCCCCCCAAAAAAGAGAATATTATACAGGTACAAGCATGTGAGTCATACTGATTTTACGAGTGTCAGAATTCTTGTTTGTCCTGAGTGAGAGCGAGGGTAATACATGAATTCTTACATGAGTTTCGTAAAATCAGTGTAACACATATGTGAGTGAAATAATTTCTTTAATACACATTATTTCTTAGTCCTCATTTCATAAGATTTGAACAATGACAACAGTGCTGTTTGGATGACTGGAACATACATTGGTGCACCAGTTTATTTCTAACCCTATGGGTAATAAACAGCGTTATCACTATCTCCTGCCATGGGGCACATTAGAATTATGTTTGTTCATATAGCAGTGAATATAAACTATAAAAAAGAGTCCTATAAAGCCTTGAGAAGAGATAGCCACTTGGGCTGCTTTATGTCATCACAAACAATGATTACATGTGAAATTATTACACACAAAAGGCTCATTCTCTGGAAAAAATAAATTAGTCTTGATGAGTATCTCTTAGATAAACTAACATCACAGTTTCTGAGAAAAATCGTCCCCATTGCAGACACTATGCACATTGTAAAACATCATGGATTAAGGGCCGTAACTGTGTATGCTCAAAACCTAAAAACATATAGCCAGGGAAGTAACTCCAGAAAAAAATACATTTAATTTATAGGACTAATTTTGAACACAGTCTTGACAAGTATCTCTTCAATAAGCATGCAAAGTTTCATTCATGTAGCTTCAGTAGTGTCTGGGAAAACATGTCCCCATTGCAGACACCATGCACTAAGTTGAAAAGCATGGAACAAGGGCCAGAACTCTGTAAAACAATAATTGACAGGACCAGGTTTCAAACTCGATCTTGACAAGTATCTCTTAGATAAGCATGCAAAAATTCATTCATGAAACTTTAGTCGTTTCCGAGAAAATTTCATGCAGTATGCACTATAATGAAAAGCACAAAGCAAGGGCCATAACTCTGTAAAAAAGTGAATTTAAGACACCAATTTTCAAACCCATTTGAGATCATGACCAGTAACATCAGTGTGTAAATTTCATTTCTCTGACTTAAATAGTTTTTGAGAAAATTTCTCCCCTTTGAGAAGCAGACGAAAGGACCGACGTATGAATGAACCTATATCCCCCGCCCCACTTTGTGGCTGGGGATGATAACAATAACTCATCAACATGATATCCAAGATCAAACATCAGACACACTGTTTTACAGAAGAGGTTATGTCACTGTAAACAATATAGCTGAAAAACTGCACGCTGATAAAACACACTTCTTTATTAAAGGATTCTTTAAATTGATACATAATTCATATTTCATTACTAAATCAGAGCTTCCCTTACCTGTGGATAAACCCTGTGTTGTGTAT